ACACACACACAAACACAGACACAAACACAAACACAAACACAAGCACAAGCACAAGCCCAAACACAAACACAAACACAAACACACAAGCACACAAACACACACACACACACAAACACACAAACACACAAACACACAAACACACCAGCACACCAGCACACCAGCACACCAGCACACCAGCACACCAGCACACCAGCACACCAGCACACCAGCACACCAGCACACCAGCACACCAGCACACACACACCAGCACACCAGCACAGCACCACACACCAGCACCAGCCAGCACACACCACCAGCGCACCAGCACACCAGCACACCAGCACACCAGCACACCAGCACACCAGCACACCAGCACACCAGCACACCAGCACACCAGCACACCAGCACACCACCAGCACACCAGCACACCAGCACACCAGCACACCAGCACACCAGCACACCAGCACACCAGCACACCAGCACACCAGCACACCAGCACACCAGCACACCAGCACACCAGCACACCAGCACACCAGCACACCAGCACACCAGCACACCAGCACACCAGCACACCAGCACACCAGCACACCAGCACACCAGCACACCAGCACACCAGCACACCAGCACACCAGCACACCAGCACACCAGCACACAGCACACAGCACACAGCACACAGCACACCAGCACACCAGCACACAGCACACAGCACACAGCACACAGCACACAGCACACAGCACACAGCACACAGCACATGTCTATCTATCCATCTATCAATCCATCCATCCATCCATCCATCCATCCATCCATCTATCTAGCTAAATGGAGTTGCGCATATGTACACACACACACATATATATATATATATATCTATGTATTAGTATATGTACATGTTTCTGCATAGGGGTATCGCATGCAAAGGCGAGAAAACCATGGGGGGTCCCGTGAGCTTCTAGCTGTCCCGTGACGCGCTTCCAGGTGGTTTGCCGCCGCGGAGGTGATGGCCAGGGCCAAGAAGTTGGAGGAGGGCTTCTCAGAGCAGCTCAAGGTGGAGGCGCCTGTGTGCGGGAGCGGCCGGGGGGGGGGGGGGTGGCTGGGGAAGGGGGGGGGGGGGGTTGGGGGATGACTTGGGGGACTTGAGACGGGGCAAAGCGGAAACCGAAACAAGGAAGTTGGAGGCCAGCCAAAGCAACCCCAGTTGAACTAAAACGGATCTCAAAGTTGCCAAATATGAAGCCAAGTTGATTTGGCAAGCAAGCTAAGCTTGCTCGCTGAACCAAGCCAAGCCTGGCTGCCTAAGTAGCTGACAAACGCACTAGCTCACGGTCGCGCAAAGCTGACTAAAGTGATGACAGCCAGTAAGCTAATTGGGTACAACCAAGAATGGCCAAGTGTCGTAAGGTCGAGAGCGGCTGATGGATGGGCTGACAGACTAGCTGATTCTGCGTAGCTTGCTGTGAAAGCGACAAGCCGACTCGCCAACTACAACATAACCCGCCCGAGCCCAAGCATCCAAACTTACAGAGTCGGAGCAAACAAGCAACACTTCGCGAAGCAAAGATAGCTAACCGCTTTGCGATTGAAGCTATCAAAACCAACCTGAGCCAATTCAACGTCAGCTCACTGACTCGCTTGCTCCTGAGCAGTGGTATCTGCTTTAAGTTGCTTTTGGGCCTATTTGCTTCTTGCTTTGGGAGTCAGCGCTGATGCCTATCCTGCACCATGTTAGCTGCTACCATGTCTGGCAGAACACAGCATTGGGATTGTTCGAGGGTCGCCAAATTTACGCATCTTGCAGACACCTGGGAAATATCGTTGGCTCCCTGCCAATCAAAGGCTGGTGGTGTAGACTCCTCACCGAAAGCAGCCTTCCTGCTGAGGAGCTTGCTGCTATGGCTCTCTACAAGAAGAGTCCGGAGAAAGCCATCGAGTTCATGCCGCTTGGGTGTAGGGCAAGAAAAATGGGCGGGGGGATTCTGCAATCGGTTTGGCCTGAGTTGTGTCGAGCTCAGGACGAATCGTGACGTGGCGAGGGCGAATAAGCTGGTGACGGACATCTTCGCCCTTTTCGGCCAGCTCATGGTGTCAGCCCCAGTCCTTGGCCAGGGCGCTATGGCGCTCATGCGAATGCCTCGCTTGGAGCGAGGTGACCTACCGCGACGGCTTCCGCATCTCCTCGCTCGGCCCGGATGCGCCGGACCACGGCGGCGCCCAGGGGGGCGTGGTGCCGAAGGCGCGATGGTGCGGTGGTTTTGGTGGATGAAAAGCCGTTCCCTGATTGTAGCTAGCCCACGTTGACGGCCGCAAACCCGCACTGTGGCATTTTGCGAACTCAGACGGCAGGTGGAAGAAGTTGGCTATTCCGCTGACTGGTACGACCGCATTGCAAAGGACTTGTTTGTTTGGCTGTCTAAGGCATTCGCCTCGGTCTTGCTGTGTTGCCCAACCGTCGTTTCCAGATCCGCCGCTAAAGCATTTGCATATGTTTGTTTCGGACGTCCAGGACACCGGCGATCATTACAAGGTGCCAGCCTCCATGACGAGCCTGGATCGGGTGAAACTGCGAGCTCTGAACAAAGGCAGGGGGGCCAGAACAATGATGCAATCATCTATATCGTTTAGACGCTTTAACCGATGTACGCCTGGCTTTAGGTTTGATTTGCAGCTGGTTAGATGATCGCTCTTGTACTTGCTTGGCGTTCAAGTTTTCCGGAGGTGTGCAGGGCGTTTGGCAGCCGCGCGGCGCTCAGCGAATGCATGCGCATCAGAGTTCGAGCAGTGGCCACTGAGGACGGCAGACGCAGTGATTGTATGAGCCAGCCGTCCGCTGTGGCTGCTTCGAAGCAAGCGGCGGCGTCATAAAGTCATTCGTTTAGACTCAGTCAGTCAACTTGTCAAATATAGAGATGCCCCGGCAGCAACATAACACGCACAAAGAGAACTACATGCGGAGGTTTGGTGGGCGCTGAAGTCGTCCTTGGTGCGCTTCCTTGCTGGACAGCGGCAAAGAAGCCTAGACTCCTGAGACAATCGCAATACCGTGCTTCCAGGCACCTGACTGTACAGAGTAACGGCTGAGAGCCTGGCATTCCCGCAGCCATGAGTTGCCAAGCAGCTGCACGTGCTTGGGTGCAGCCTTGGCACCTGTTTCGGCGAACATTTCAAAGCCACGACCGTTGCGTGCAGAGTGTGACTTCATGCATCGGGCACGGGGCAGAACCTTGCCGGTGCAATCCGGTGCAATGGACCCCGAGGTTCACCAACAACGACCACCTATGGCAGGCAGCGGTCAACCGCCGCAAGGAGAAGTTGTGAGAGTTGGGGGATTTTGCCAAGAACATGTTCAACCATTTTTCCCTCAAGCGTGAGGGTTTCCTTTGGTTCTGTGGGAGGTGGGATGGCCGGATTCTCACTGGGTGCGCAGGAGGGCCGCTTGGCTGAGGAGGAGGAAGTGCCAATGTCTCAGCGGCGCCGAAAGGGGAGGGACATGCACTCCATGGGTTTCGTCACTGCTGGCGCTCCATTGGGCTGGGTTGAACAAGCATGCTGAGTCATGCTCATTGCCAAAAAGCAGAGGCCCCGGCGCGATGTTTGCAGAAGCGACCGGGTCTCAGCAGTACTTTGCTCTTGGATGGCTTTGTCTCACTTTGTCGCTTAGAAACTGTGCCCACGGTGTTGGCTCAAGCTTGCCGGCAGGATGGCTGAGGGCACTCGGGTTTGGCAACGGCCTGGGATGAATGTCTCCGTGGATGCCTTGAATGTGACAGCTGGGTCTCGCAAGCTTCTGCAATATGTCAACTGCTCCTTCCAGGCGGGGCAAATGATCGCGCTGATGGGTCCATCGGGGGCTGGCAAGACCACGCTGCTGAACAGCATGGTTGGTCGGGCTTCTGGCTCCATTGGCGGCACGGTCACCTACAACGGCCACTCGTTGGTGCACGCAAGGAGCTGCATAGGCTATGTGACCCAGGAGGATATCATGTATGAGACCTTGACTCCGCGTGAGAACTTGACGTTTGCAGCGGCGTTCATTCTACCGAGCCTGCCGCATGCGAAGCGGCAGCAGGCCGTGGAAGACATCATAGAGAAGCTAAAGCTACAGAAATGCGCTGACACGGTCGTGGGCTCTCCAGGCTTGGTGCGAGGAATTTCTGGCGGTGAGAGGAAGCGCACAAATGTGGCCTTGTCCATGCTGGGGCAACCATCTCTGCTCCTGCTGGATGAGCCGACCAGCGGTTTGGACTCGAAGATGTCTGACTCGTTGATGAAAGACGTCAAGGAAATCGCCTTGGAGGGTTGCACAGTGCTTGCGACCATCCACCAACCATCCGAGGCAGTCTTCCGCCGCTTCGACCGAGTCCTCCTGCTCCGGGCTGGACAGGTGAGTTTGACCAAAGTTTTTCCCCGTCCGAGGGCGATTTTCCAAGGGGAGCTCCCCAGTCAGATCAGCGTGCGAATTGCGCTGCCCACCCGCACCTTGGTTCTTGACCTTCCTGACTCTTTCCCCCGGTTGCCAGCAGAAGCAGTTCGACTTGTGCGTTACGGTTGGACAAGGGGCTGACAGACAGGACCCCGGCCAACTTGGGCAGCGCGAACTTGGGCGAGTTCCCTAAAATCTTGGAATTGCATGGGGGAATTGGGGGCATCCAAAGAATGCCTGAGAACTTGGGCAAGACTTGCACTCGCATGGAGGGCTCGTTCTTTGGCCTTGCCGCGTAGGTGGCCTACTTCGGGCCCGTGGCGGAGCTTCGGGACGTCTTACTGGGCCTGGGGGTTCACTGCCCACCAGGGCTGCCGCTGCCTGAGCTGCTGCTGGAGGTCTTGGAGGAGGGCCAGGAGGAGAGAAAAGGCTCGAAACTGGCGCAGGTTCAGCCCGTGGAAAAAGTTCACGCGGCGCGTCTGAATCTAAATCTAAACCTACATTATACGCACACGCACACACACACATACATACATACATACATACATACATACATACGTACGTACGTACGTACATACATACATATACATATATATATATACACACACACAATCTCTTTTTGTGTGTGTGTGTGTGTGTGTGTGTGTGTGTGTGTGTGCGCGTGCGCTTGTGTGCGTGTGCGCGTGTGTGCTTGTGCGTGTGTGAGTGTGCGCGTGTGCGCGTGTGCACGCGGTGTTCCCCTCCGGCAAGTTGAAAAGTTGGCCAAACAAATCTGGAAGAAGGAGAAACGCTTGAAGCTTTATACGCGTGCGTCCTAATTGCGAACACATGTAGTACATGTAACCCGGGAAAATTTGAGGGGGCCACTTTACTCAAAGAGGGAGCTGGGGAGCTACCTGGAGTTCTGGAAGGACATGGGAATGGACCCAGCTTCAGAGGTCTTTAGCGCATGGGGGATTCCCCAGGAGAGGCAGCAGCAGCTGCGGCAGCTGAGCCTTGGCAAGGCCAAGGCGAAAGACGAGCAACCGGAGGCCAAGGGCTTCCAGAGAGCTGGGTGGCCGAGGCAGCTGGGCATTTTGCTGCGCAGGGAGCTGGTGAACCTGAAAAGGAGCAAGGGCCTCACCGTCGTGCGCGCGGCGCAGTCTGTGGCCTCCTCCCTGCTCATTGGCTGGATCTTTGTGCAGCTGGAGCGGAACATGTCCGGGCTCCAGCCACGGCTGTTCTCCAGCTTCATGCTGGTCTTCTCCCAGTTCCTCTTCGCAGTGCTTGGGGTGGTAAACGCCTTTCCGTCGGAAAGGGCGGTGTTCTTGCGAGAGACCCAGGACAAGCTGTATCATCCAGCCACTTTCTACCTGGCCAAAGTCTGCATCGACACGGCCATGCAATGTTTCTTTCCCCTCTTGGTTCTTGTCATCAGTTACCCCCTCATCGGCTTGAACGGCGAGAGCGCGGACCGCATCCTGCTTTTCTACGTGATCATGGCGGTGGTGTCCAACTGCGGGGCGGGGATGGGCTTCATGGTGTCTGCCGCGGTGCCCAGCGTGAGCCTGGCCTTGTCCATCGCCCCTGGCCTCATGATGCCGCAGCTGCTGCTGGCGGGAATCTTCACCAAGGCCGGCGGCCGGGTGGCTATTGGCCAAGCCATGGCTTTGAGGGCTTTGAGGTTGTTTTGCAGTTGGCTGGCTCCAAGAGTCCAAAACTTGGAATGCAGGTTACCACTGTGCATGGTCCGGGGGCCGTGGGAAGGTTTAGGGTTATCAATACGTGGCATCGCACATTGCCCGGGCTGAGAGTTGGGGTTTGTGCGCCCGTCATGTTTCGCGTGGATGGCCCTTTGCGTTGCTGGAGGATCAGCATTCTCAGACAGTCAACCCCGGAGCATGCCCCATGTCCAGCGTTTGACGTCAGGTGGAGGACTTGCCGCAGCCGTTCAACGCCCTCAGCTACGTCATGGTGGCACGCTATGCGGTGCAGGCTACGGTGACAAACGAGTTCAACTGCATCCCGAAGGATGGGTGTGACCAGAGCTGGCACGCTAGTCCCGAGGATCAGTGTGGCAGCTCGCCGTGCGACTTCTGTTGCACAGATGCCGAGATGAGCGCAGCGGGTGGCATTTGCCCGGTCCTGTCATGTGACGATGCAATCAAATTCTTGAACATGGACGAAGTTTGGCCATCTGGAGGCACGCATGACGAGACAGTTGCATACAATATCATCGCGCTGCTCGTGTTGCTGGCATTTTTCCGGCTGCAGGGGCTCAACATCCTTATGATGAGCTACCGAAGAGCAACCACGGGCTCAGCCCTTCCCTGCAAGTGTCGTTGCCCCGCGAGGGCCCGCAGTGCCATTGACACTGAGTAGCTCTGGTCCTGCCGAGCTAAGTTCCAGACATTCTTGCAGTGAAGACGCGCGTGTGCAAAGCACTCATCAGTCCAACCTGGTGAGCAAAACGCCCCGCGGCAGGACGCGAACCATGGCAACCTGGAATCTCGATGGGTGCCATGTGTCGGGCCTTGTCGGTTTTTAGGTCAAAGCATTTAAAATGCAAGACCTGGGCATGCTGTTATTATATGCAAGGTTAAGTCCTTGTTTGCCGTCTCTTCGGCATTTGTGTCTTTGCGTCGGTGCAGACCAAAAACAGGGGCGCATTAAGTTTCCGGGAGTGTCCGTAAGTTTCGACCTGCCCAAACCCCCCACTTCAACCCGGGGCTAGTCGGCTCCGATTGAGGCCGTGCTGCTGCACTTCTGCGTTTGCGACTTCTCCTCCTTCTGGCGAAAGCGCTGGACGCAGCCGCTGCCCCAAGAAGCCCTCGGCGGGGGGGCGGGGCGCGCCCCCCTCGCGCGGGGGAGGGAGACCTGAGGCTCGGGTACCTCTCCGCCAGCGACCAGTTCCGCGTTCGCACCAGCTCAGGGGCCGGGCGCTCAAAGGAGAAGGCAGAGAAAGGCCCGGAGGCAAAGAAACGGCACAAACAGCCGTGCCACGTTGGCCTCTGGGCGCTACTGCTCAAAGGCCATGATGGCTCGCTTCTATCGGCTCCAGTGCGAGAAGCGCCAGGGAGAGGCACAGAAGAAACGGGCTGAAACGGGTGCAGGCAGATACAACAGACACTAGGCGTTCACTTTGGATCTATGTTCGCCACCCTTTCACCATGTGCGCCGGAACGCGAACGGATCAGGCACGAGAGCTGTTTGAGACCATGTGCATTTGCGACCCCCAGGCGCAGGGCTAGCTTTGGAGCGTTTTGCTTGCTTGACCCGCTGCAGTATCGAAGGCGCAAGGTGGCCTTTTTTGTGCGAAGCCAGGTTCGCAGACCACGTTTGCAGACAAGTGCCTACCTTGCTTGATGACCATGGCACGTTTGCGGCCGTGAACCGCCGGCCTTTGGCTCAAGTTGCCCTTTTGCGGCCGCGAATTCAAGGCGTCCCTCGCCCAAGGCGACGTGGCGGATGCAAGAGGTCCATGCTGCCGGCGAGGCGGCCTCGCCGGCGCCGGACCTGGAGACCGTGCGGGCCATCCGCGCCGCGTTTGTGGAGGTGCTGAGTGACTTTCGGCGGCAGATTGGGTGCGTCTTTTTTCTTGGACCCCCCAAATGATTTTTTTCGCCTCCTGGTAGTTAAAACAACCCAACTAGGGTATCCTGAAAACAAACAGACCCAGTGTCGAAGTAGTTGAAGTAAGTTCTTAAATCACTTTCAGAAGAAGTGCGCAACGGAGATATCCTGCTTTGCGGTTCTATGTCTATCACTGTTCCATCATCTCAACCTTGTGGATGTCCTTGATGATGGAGCAGCCTTGAACCGCAAGAAACCGCACGTAAGGGCACCGCAGATCAGACCAAACTCCATGAACCAGCCCAAACCCGAGCCTCGCTGTTAGCCGGAACCCTACCCTGAAGCAACATGAAGCAGCCGCTCAAATCTGCCCCGCAGGGACGATGCCGGAGCTCGAAAAACCACACACACACACACACCATCAGAGTCTTTTTTCTTCTTCCATTTTTTCATACCTTGAGGTATACATTTTCTTTTCCAAACCCAGTGGTCGATTTCCCCAAATTCCCTAAGCCAGCTGAGCCAACTCTCTGCTCGGAGCTTCGTTTTCTCTGGCTTCCGCCCGCTCGAAGTCGGCGAGTCCTTGCACAACACATGTTCAATTTTGTGAGGGGATGGCAAGTCCTCTTTATGTATCTAGGACCCCCCCCCCCCCCAAATTCAGCACGATTTTCATTGGGAATTGAACATCTTGTCATTTTTCCCTACCTGAACACAATTTTGAGTGTTTCTGGAAATGGACCCCTTTTGGCAAAAGGGACAATAAGTTTTCGAGACCACTTGGAGAAGCACCATGTAATGACCAAAAGTATTGGTGGACCCGGAAAGTGAATGACACTGGGTGCCCCAAATCTCCCAACCACATCCGTTTTGAGAAGCCAACCTCATGCTTAGGAGAAGACCGGCCACACGTTCCAACCCAAAAAAATGGAGCATCTTGAGAACGCCTTCACCTCCCCCACCCCCCCCCCTCTTCCCTCACCCTTCCCCCCCTCTCCTCCCCCCCTCTCCCGGACCAAAGCTCAAGGAGCAGCTGCGTGAGCTGGAGCTCCGCCTGGAGCGAAAGTGGCGCGCCAGAGCCGAAGGCGCTTGGTGCGAAGGGCGGCACTTGGAGCTCGGGGTTCGTTGCAATACCTGCATATACAAAGAATACATATATATATATATAGCCTATGTATATATACATATATATATATACATGTATATATCTATATATTTATATAGTTAGACAGGAGTTCGTGGTTCCTGGGAGAGGTGCTCACTGTTTGCTTGATTCTTCTTTTCTGCAGGGAGTCGGAGGTCAGAAAGTCGACCTGGTCGATGGATCGGCGTTTAGGTTGGTTGAAGAACCCTGCGAATGATCCACAAGCCTTTGAGAGAAGTACGTTGCCTATTGTGTTGTTTTCATGTTGCACAGGGGTGAGTATGTGGCTGTTTGCGGGGTGAGGCAAATTGGGCCATGCAGCATCTGGCACATTGGAGCATCTCGCTTGCATATCTGAGATATGACCGGCATGCAGGCATGGATGGGTCGGAGTGCACTTCTGCTTGTCTTTTGGGTTTGGGATGTTTGTGAGTGGGCGCAAGCAAGCAAGTGACTCGAATTATCGCGTGGTCGCTTCCAAGGATATTGCGCGGCAGATCCGGAACAGAGGCGCTTCGGATGTCTTTGGGGCTGCAAGTTGGGTGACTTTGAATTTTGGGAGCTGGGTGTGGGTGGGTCGCTGGGACGAAGCAAGTGTCTCTGATTCTTGAACGGGGATCAACCTCCAACCAGGTGGACACAAACCCCCATGTAGGACTTGGATCACCCTGGGAGCCTTCCCAGCTTGCTGAGCCGGCAGCAGTCGCCCCCAGATGATTCTCGCAGCGTGTCCAAGGAGCGTGCGCCGTTGCTGCATTTGCAAAGGGAACAACTTCAGCAGTCACGTGACGGGGGCTTCCAATTTGGAATTGTTGACGTTGCTCAGCCGAAGGCGGAAAGGGCGTTTCTTGGGCAAGAGCTTTGTGCGCCAGAAATCCCCATGTAAGCAGGACACAGCGGCAGGTGATGAGGCGGGGAGGGTTTCCCAACACCCCGACATCAATCAATCCAGGACTGACCAATGGGCTACCAGTTCTGTACCTTTTTGCCTGGCGCGCAGGCAAACAGCATGGAGAACGTCCCGAGCCTGCAAAGCACGCCCGGGCCTCGCCCAAACGACCCCTTCGGCGGGTCGTGCCGAGTCGCCTTCGAAGTGCGCCGCTTGTTCGGGGCCTGAGGTTCTCCAAGAAACGGCGGCTCAGCGCCATGACCAGAGCCGGGGACGTGGCGCACCGCGAGTACGCCCGCAGCTTCCGAAGCTCCACCACCTCCCAGGAGAAGACCAGGCTGACCCCCATGCAGCGCGTGCTGAGGCGGGGTTCCTGAGCAATTTGCTGGGGTACTCGGGTTCCTTCCCTCCCACCAACATAGCACCGGTGGGACGCTACCTGGAAGATCAATTTCCTGTTGCATCTGAAGAGTCTTGCAGGAGCAAAGTGGTGGAGATGACCTTGGCCTTTACTATCCTCGCCAGTTCTGTGCTTGTGGGCATTGAGGCGCTGGGCTTGGTTTTTTTTGCCGTTGGTGCCTAACAGTGCGAGACTCACAGCCCTGTTGGCGACCAGGTGCAGATGATGTCGGACTCTTTGGATATGTCACTTCCGCCAGCGCTTGCCAGAGCCCCGATGTGGCATCAGTGAATGAGAATTGGCAAGGGCGCATTCTGATGCGTTCAAAGCTGCTGGGGAGAGGGAACCCTCAACAGTTCTCGTGCCGCCTCTGGCTTATGACGCTGAAGGCGATATTCGCACCCCCCAAATGCAGCGCAACAATAGCTTAGTGTGATACATTTTGTCTTGAAGCCAGTTTTCAAGGAACCGAGGGGGATGCAGGGGTTCAACAGTACAACAAAGTTGCACGATCCCACAACACTGATCCAGCGAAAAAATAGCTTCATGGGCAGATTAACTGAGACACTCTGGCTCGAAGAGAACGTCCATTGTGAAACGGCCAGTTCTGCGAGTCAATGTTGATGATCCTTCGCTCCCGGTTGTGTTGCCATTGCGTAGCATCATTGCCCGCCACTTGACGCTTTTGATTTTTTGACAATTGCCCTGGCTTGCCTCACATGGTACCCCTGGCCCCTTGGCACATGGGTCCATGCCCTCCCGAAATTGGTGTCAGAGGTGACCCTGCGCATCGTGCTCAATATCTCCTTTGTGGTGGAGTTGCTGGTGCGCTTGCAGCCCGACTTGACCCGGGACCGGGCCGTTGGATTCGAAGGCGAGCTCCGCCCTTGGAAGGCCAAGCTGGGTGAGTCACCGCCGAAAATCCGGCGCACATGGCTGGTGCTCACACTACGGATTGCCTGAATCCGTCACGTTGAGCTTGTGAATGGTCGTTTTCTATTGGCAGACGGCTTCGAAGTGAGGCTAGCTATTGCTCTTTCAGGTTTGCTCACTCCTGGCCTTGGCTCCGCGACAATTTAATGAAATGCTTCGCATTTCATTACCCAAAGAAGCACCCCCTAGCCCAGCATGGCGGTCCTGAAGTTGGCGAACCTATTTACAGGCCACTCCCTCTGCCAGGGACGCGTGATCTTGTCGCGCTAACGCACAAACGCGCCGGAAAGTGCTTCCGCTTGCGTCGCCTTCACGTTGAGGTATGCTTTCGGGTTCTCCTGCCGCAGACAAGGACAACGTGGGGGGCTGGGAGCTGCGGCATGAGACCTCAGCCTTTAGGCAGTCATGCAAAGTGCTGGGCTTTGGCTTGACCGCTCACATAGGTTCCTTAGGTTCCCTTCTGGAAATTTCTAAGGGTTGTTGTATTACACCCATTAATTACACCCACTGGGTTGACCCCATTTAGGCACATTTCCGGATAAAACCGTGTTACTTTGGATCATTCAGGGTCATTTCCCGAGGGTGTAATCCCAGGGTGTAATACAAAATCATTCAGGAAATTGCCTTGGCTACTTTGCCAGTCTTTGCATGTCTTTGGCCCATTCTTTGGCCTAGCCTCCGCGCGGACTGGCAGGAGGCATTGCCTGGTTTTCCTTTGACGTTCTGGTGGTTTGCGGGTCTGCCGCAGAGGCTGCTTTGGACTTGGCCTCAGTTGCGCAAGTCTGGTCGAGCCGGAGCACGCACGCAGGCTTTTTGAGAAGCAAACCGCTCAAATTGTTCAGGACGTCTACGGCATTCTCGTCAAACAGCTGGACGCAATACCCGACTTCTCGCAGGTCCGACTCTTGAAGATCCTCCGAGCGCCCCGCGCTGCACAAGCCGAGACCTGCGAAACTGTGAAGGGTTCGATCGGTTTGTCCGGTTGCTGAGACACGGCTGTGGGTCAAAACCAATGGTACCATTTTGGGGTAGGTGCACCACCCATTTTAGTCTATTTTAGTGGGGATTGGGATGTTCACTGGTGGTACGGGCTTTTGACCCATGGCCACACATTTGGATGTACTCAGGTGACGCGTCTGGTGCGTGCTTTTCGGGTGCCTTACTTGATGAAGTATTTCGGGCCACTGCAGACCCTAGCGCAGGCCTCGGAAAGTTTCGAGCGATTTTGGGCCAAGGGCCTCCAGAGATGCCGGTGCAGGTGTAGCCATTTGAAGGAATGTGAAGCTTTCTTTCTCTGCGTGGGCAGGTTTTGGCTACCGAGGTTTCATCTATCTCCCATACCTTGTGGTATCTTGTTTGGGCAGTGACCTGGCAAGCACCGGGACGAAGGGTTCGGAGGCGAATGCCAATGCTTTGGATGGCAACAGCCGAGGCTGTTCTCCTTCTTCTCTTGATCTACACGGCTACTACACTTGCAGTAGGTGTGTCAGGGTATTTGGAACTGGCCGCACGGGTTGCGAAAAGTAATCCAAACTTGCTGGCGATGTCAACATCATTTGAGTCACAATCAAAACCCGGGCAGATGAAGCTTAGTAAGGGATGATCCTAACCATAAATAGCTGCGGCCGCCTTCTTGATTCTTTACATGGTTCTGGGTGAACCATTTTTGTACCGGGTTTTGATTATGACTCATTTGGGACATCGTGAGCAAGCAGTTTGAAAGGGGATGCGTTCAGCAGTAGCTTGGGTCACTGAGATAGTCCCCGTCGTTTTTGCAGCTTCCACCAAACTCAGGCACACCAAATGTTGCCAAGCCAATTTTTGCTTGATAGTTAGCCCCAGGCAGGCTGGCCAAGGATGCGCTGCAATAACCGTCTTTCAACGCAAGCCATCCACTTCAGGTTTCTATTGCTTTTGCGCAGACGGTGTCTCTCTTCATCATCAATGAGGGCTTGGAGCAAGTTGAGGAGAAACATCCAGCTTTGCCGGGCCGCCCAGAACCGGCCTTTGGTTGTCTTTTTCGCGGGGTTTTTGCTTGGTGAGTCAGTCTTCTTTGAGTGCGCACGTGCTCGTCGCGCAAAATGCCGCTAAGCGCGGGGGGAGGAATGCTTGGCCGTGAGTCATAGTCGTTTTCCTGGACCCTTTTTAGCAAGGCGCAGTGTTAGTGGCTTGCTGTATTGTTTTTTTCAGAAAAGGAAGCATCCCTTCAGGATAGCCTGACCAAACCATTGTTTTCTTTGGTTGTGGTGGTTCACCGCCCTTCTGCCCCCAATTCCTGATGTGGCAAGTTGCGCAGCACACGCGTGAACACACACACAGACACACGCACACACACACACCAAAACACAACACAACACAACACAGCACAACACAGCACAGCACAGCACAGCACAACACAACACAACACAGCACAGCACAGCACAACACAAACACAACACAGCACAGCACAGCACAGCACAGCACAACACAACAACACACACACAACACACACACAACACACACAACACACACACACAACACACACACAACACACACACACAACACACACGCAACACACACACACACACACCACACACAACTCACACCCACACACCACACACAACACACACACACATACCACACACACACGCACCACACACACACACACATGATACACACAACACGAACACACAACCAACACAACACAACACAACACAACACAACACAACACAACACAACACGAACACACAACCAACACAACACAACACAACAACACAGCACAGCACAGCACAGCACAGCACAGCACAGCACAACACCACACAACACAACACAGCACAACGCAACACAACACAGCACAGCACAGCACAGCACAGCACAGAATAAGACAACACAACACAGCACCACACACACAACACACACACAACACACAGACACACCACACACACACACCACACACACACACACACCACACACACCACACACACACACACACACACCACACACAACACACCACACACACACACACACCACACACACACACGATACACACAACACGCACACACAGCACAACACAACACAACACACCACACCACAGCACAACACAACCCAACACAACACAACACAACACACCACACCACAACACAGCACAGCACAGCACAGAAAAGCACAGCACAACACAACACACACACAACACACACACACACACAGCACACAACACACACAACACACACACACAAATCACACACACACACACACACCACACGCAACACACACCACACACACGCACACGCCGCGCACACACCACACCACACCACACACACACACACACCACACACCACGTATACACGCACACGCGCACGCGACCACCTCTTGAGCCGCTGCAAACTTGCACACAGGCTCGCAGCGTGATCTGATGTGGGGGAGGGACGTGGCCGCTCACCCCGCGGTTGTTGAAAGAGGAGTGGACTGACACGATGTTTAATTATAACGTAAGTGTGTCAAAGCGGCGCCTGCGTGGTAATGTGCTGGGGCGTCTGGAGTACAATTTCGCGGGCTTGTAACACGGAGTTTGTCGCACAGACGCGTGCAAGCCGGTTTCCGCAGCTGGCGTTTTGCAATGCCAAGGCTTGAGTTCTGGCGCGATTTGTGGACCTCCATGATTACCTGCTTTATGGCGATCTCTGGCGGCTTGAATTGGAAAATCGTCTACGACCCGCTGAACGAGCTGGACGCGCTGATGGGGAACATCTTCGTGTTCTTCATTTCGTTCGCATATTTTGCATTGCTCAACATCTTGACGGGTGTATTTTGCAACAGTGCCATGGAAGCTTTGTCGCGCGACCCCGACATCGTGGCGATTTCACAAGATGCAATACACGCAAGGGAACATTTGTGCGGGGCCAAGTTTCTGTGCCTTGCTTTTGTTGTTTGCGCTTCCTTGTCTGGACGAATTCAATGAGTTTTCCAGGTGCGGCCTCTTCAGCTCGATTGACGTGGATGACTCGGGGCACTTGACTTTGGACGAGGTAGAGGTGCCTTGCACGTGATCATTTGGGTGTGGCTCAAAATTAAACAGGAGGGGTTACGCAGGTTTTGGTCCATGTTTCCTCTTACCAGGGTTCCATTTTGGTACCGGTTTTTTGAGCCACAGCTATTTCGCAAAAACATGGAGCAAACAAAATGCCATGTCTGCTTCAAGGTGTGGATGTCAGAAGGCAATGGGAAGGTGGACTTGCAGGCAATGGGTATCGATGAAGGACATGCCATTCCAACTTGTTGTGCCCGATGCCGTCTTGTTCAATGCCAGGAGACCCTTGGGTGTTTTTCAAGCTCCTGGACGAAAATGCTCAAGGCTATGTCACCCAAGAGGACAGACACCGCGTTACCAGGGCATATGGGCCATGCGGCAGAAGCCTATGTACAGAGACGCCCAATGTGCCATGCCTCTGCAGGCATTTGTTGATGGCTGCCTCCGTCTGCGTGGTGGTGCGTCAGGCAGGTTGCAGCGGTGCCAGTGTTGTGACGATTGGGACCAAGTGCTGTCAAAGGTCCACTTTCCATGTTGTGAGGAGTTGACATGGCCAGCCTGCGAAACGAGAGCCGAGCGATGCACGAACTCCTGGCCATGTTGTTCCAGCGGGTGGAGTCTTTGGACAGCAAACAGCCACGCAGGCCGATGGGCTTTGAGCTCGTGCCACAATGTGCCACACATACATGTGTGGAGCTGCACAATGGCACGAATCGCAGGACAACAAAACTCTAGAGCTATTGGGTTGGATCTTTAGACTTTAACTTTTTGGATGCCCAGCATTTTTCCTTTTCACCTCCAAGAAGTTAAAACTTCTTGCTGCGGGATCTACAGAGCCCAAGAAACCACGTGCAGCATGGGATGGCCGCGCTAAGCGCCTTGTGAGGCCTTCCCGAGCCTTGCTGGGCTCGAAGAGGTTTCGACGCCACACGGTCGGGGGCATGGACACGGTGGTGGACTCAAAGTACGCGGAGGATCTCACGATGTGAGCCCTCGGTCAGGTGTGCCGGGTCGGTTTTGCCCCCTCGTGCATGCCTAATTCGGTGCATGACGTAAATTCAGGTTTGAGCGTCTTGCGAGTAAGATGCTCCTGGTTAGCATGCCTTGCCACCTTTAAGCGTTAAGAAGACGGCTTCCCGGGTGGTCGATAGCGGCCTTTTTCCAACTCCAGCAGAGGCAGATGGGCAGAGCTCCTGCTTAAGACTTTGAACAGTTCGCGAGGAAGGAGGTTCCATCACGGCGAAGAGAAGATGCTTGGGATTCCGCCGGCCTCTGCTGGACTCGTCGCCGTTTGTGGTATGTGGTGCTAAGGCACGCCTGTTAATCCTTCGCTTGCATCCAGCGCGCATTTTTGTCCAACCGGCCGGGTGGCTTGGCCCGAGGCCACGAAGCCCGGCGGGTTTCAGCGACTTGCTTCTGGGTCTGCTTGGCCCGGTGATTTTGGTTAGCTGTGCAAAAGGGCGGTCCGGCGTCAAGTGGCATGAGGTCTCCAGGGTTGCTTTCGCCAGCTGATTGTTTGGTTGGCCCAATCTCGGGGTCAATCTGAATCTGGTGCTCTGTCTGCGGGGCTTTGTAAAACTGCGGATCTCCCCTGCAAAATGCAGGCAGTGAGGCGGGGAGTCAATGCAAGGCCTCTGCCTGCCTTCCAGGCCTTGGCGTCCGACGTGGAAGTTGGGATCCTGCTGTCGGCAGATCCAAGACATCCCGCGGCAGCCTCATTGACCTTGAGAACCAAGCCCGGGTTTTTTTGGCGGAGAGTCTCTGCTCAGAGGAAGGGGAGGTGTCCAAATGCAAACAACTCCCCCGGTTGCAGAGGGACTCAGCTAACCAATGCCTTAGCTATGGTCTGAGGCAGGGCCGGAGGGACCTACTTGGCCAGCATCGCCGCAGCAGGCGCAGCTCGAAAATGAGGAGGTCCTCAAAATGGCAACGCTTGCGTGTTGGTCCCCCTCGTTCAAAGCAATCAAAGAAGGTTTGCCCCAAAGCCCCAAAGACGTGCCCACCCCCCACCCCCCGTCCGTGCGGAGGTGCCATATTTGGAGCTTGCAAAGTGTGCTGAGGCAGAGAGGGGTTGGGGTTTGGCCAGGGTGCGTTTTGTTGAGCTTGCCGTTTCTTTGTCACACCTTCAGTGATGGCTATTCCCTGACTAGCTCCATCATTTGTTGGCCATTCCGAGGGCTGAGCAAAGCTTAGTGCAAACAGTCAGCGAGCTGTCGGCCGCTCACCGATGTTTCTCTGAGTTGAGCTGCCTCACAGGCAATGCTCTAACGCGACGGCTTGCTCACGTTTCAATGCTACCAACTGCAGCCAAGTTCACCTTCAGACTTGTATCTCCAAGCCCGAAGATACAGCTTGACGTGATGTCAACACACAGTTGCCCTTCTCAAAATGTCAAGGAAGTACTGAGTGGCAAAGCTTTGCAAGAAGCCCAAGTCATTTTTGGAGTCCCCACACCCCACCTGCAAGTCCTTGCCTACATCAAGATCCCCAGTGGCACCCTGTGACAGCACCCTGCATTTGTCTGCCTCGTACGTCAAGCTCACCAGCGGCACAGAGCAACAGCACCCTGCAACGCCAATGTTTGGTCGACACCCCCTTCTTTACTTGAAGTTAGAACCCCTGTGCTATCTGGGACATATCGCATGAGAAAGTGAAGAAGCCAACCATTGAAATTGCTGGTTCACACCAAAAGCAACATCAGTCTCAGAAGGGTTTGTTTTCCTTATCTGATCCCACGTGATCTGAGATTTAAGCACAAACGGAGCCAAGCCAATAGGCCGGGGGTTGTGTTGCAAACTGCGCGGTGGATGGCAGTTTGCCCCTCAAAAAAGCTTCAAACTGGGCCCCACCTGAGCCAAACAAGAAAGGCCTCCACATGCAAACAACGAACTTCAACGTTTCTGGGGGCTGGATCCAAGATGCAAGATCTAAGATTGCACCGAAAAGCTTCTTGGGAATCTTGGATCCAGGCCCCAAAGGCTTTCGCGTTCCTATCAACACTGGGGGGGGGGGGGTGTATTGGGAATCGTGGATCCGGCCGTAAAGTTTTTGTCAACACATTAAATCCAAGATAAGACTTGTCTCACTTTCTTTGAAGCCTTTGGGGGCTGGATCCGAATTTCAAGGCCCAAGATTGCGCAGACACGTTTCCGGGGAAGCTTGGGTCCACCTCAAGAAACGACCAAGCTGGATCCATTCCCACGAAACTTGCACGTGTCATCTTGATTCTTGGAACCAAGACGCATATTGACTTTTTTTTCACAGAGAGGTCCGCTGTGTTCAATCTAGGTAGGAGGTGCCCAGTTTGACCCTCATCGTTGTGGTGTACGGTGTAAACAAAAGGAGCACAAAGGCTCGCACATACCTTGTTGAGGGATGAGGGGTACCACATATATATATATACATATATATATATATACATATGTATTTGTACATATTTATATTGCTTGCTGACTTGAGAGGGTTGACTGCGCTGACAAGATTACTTCTCCAACTCCGACCGGGTCAAAAGCCTTTGATCAACGCCTCGGCTTGCAAGCTGGGAAGCTGCTTTAGCGAAAGAGGTCAGGTGCTGACCATGTTGATGCCAAACTTTGGGATGCTGCCGGACCTGACTCTTCTAAGGGCATGTCTTGTTGGTAAGCTCTTTGGCTTAGGCGACTCCGTCAACCAGAAGTCTGGCATAGCCCTCATAGGCCAAACTGCGTGTAATATATCTACATGTGAAGCTGGACTTGTTGTTGTCTCCACGGCGAGCAGTACCGGTGGTACCTGGAGGAGCTGAACCGCCCCAACTTTTGTGGCCCGGCCATGTCTTATACTGTCCGAGCAGCATCGCGCTGCTCCATACCGTCGCCTATATGTTTTTTCATACACAAACATATATATATATATATATATACATATTTACAAATGCAAAAATAGAAACCAGGCGCAGAAATCTGTTCCCAGGCAAGGACCAGCAAATTCCAAGCCTTGTCCCGAGGGCTTGGGCCTTGAGCCTCGCTAGGCCCGGGGTCGGCACTTCGACGCGTGGCTCCTCTACGGCAAGGCGTCCGAGGCGCCCGGCCGCCGGCGAGCGGCGCGCGCGCGGGCGCGGATCGGATCGGGTTGCCAGGTGGCCAACGGAGCGGCAGGGGAGGTGCTGCGCCGCAGGGCGCAGGCGGCCATGGCGGCGGGCTGAGAAGAATTCCCCCTTCTCACCCCAAGTGGCTGGCTTGGCCGTGATTTTTTTAGGCCATCAAGGTAAGTCCCTATCCCTTTTGGCCAGGTCTCATTGCGTGACGTCTCTTCCGATTGCGATCCGCGAGTGTGACGTTGGGTTGCGATCTACGGCTCAAGGCCGCAGAGCTGCCGGCCTGTGCCGAGCAGGATGCTGCTCGGGCGGTGCAGCTGGGAGAGGCAAGCGCTTTCCAGCGGATCACATCCTTTGGCTAGGGTCGAGCCATGTGCGTTTTTTGTCTTCTTCTTTTTTTTTTCTGTTTTTTTTCAAGGATTTCGTGAAGGGTTGGCGCTGGAGCGCTTGGTATCCACGCGTGCGCGCCATCGCGCGCGTCGGAAAGTTCGACCTTGAGTTTGATGGGATAGGCACCCAAAAAAAACTTATGAGGGATCAACAAGTTTTTTCTGTTTGATGCCTAAAGAGTCTTTTTTGGTCCCTCACCCGAGTTTGTGGTTGGGGGGGGGGCGGTCGCGCATGGCAAGACGCCGACCCTGGCAGGTTCTGAGCTACGAGCTTTTGGCGCGGATGCCCGGGCAGAGCTAAGCTGTATGCGTTGCATGCGTTGCGAGCGTTGCGTGCGTTGCGTGCGGGTGTGTCCTTGTTTTGGGGACCCTCACCCCCAAAAAAAGGCAAGGAAGAAGAAAGAACCTCAAATTGGGGACCTTTTCCCCCAAAAAACAAAAAGAACAGGGAGGTGTTCCCCCCAAAAAGGAGAAAGGGAGGTGTTGCTGAGAAGACCTAGAACAGACAGGCCCTTTGTGGTTTCGGGCTCCAGGCCTAGGCCTTCGGCCAGGTCCGGGCTTTGGAGTCCTTGGGCCGCGTCTCAGCAGCGCGGCTCGCGGCACAGCAAGGTGCGGCGGCGTACTCGGGGGGAGCCGTTTCTTTTCTTTCTTTTTTCCCTTGTTTGTTTTTTTTCGTGCCCCTGGGTTTGGCCAAGCGAAGCGAGAAGCGAAGCCGAAGTCCACTTTATTGAGGAGTCCAGATCCAAAACGAAAAGCAGACCCATATTTGGGGGGAGGGGGATGTGAACTCCTGCGACCAGTGTGCCTCTGTGTTCCTGTGTCCCTGGAAGGTGCCGAGCTTTTGGGTGGCAGCCCGGCGGGCAAGGTCTTGGAGGAGTGGACTGTGTGAGCGTCAGGAGTGGATGTGTCGAAGTCAGAGAGCCCTCCAAATGGCGTGTTGCCAGCTTCTAGAGGCTAGAGCTTCGCCTTTTCCTCTGTTTATCGAGTGAGGGGCATCGGGCGCAGGGTTGTAAGATGCTCGAGGGGGGAAGGGGACGCTGTTGCAAAGGGATGCTTCAGCAAACTGCCAGTCACGTCGCATGTGCAAAGCTGGGGCTTGGCAATGGCCCTGGTCTCATGCCAGCATGCGCAATGGCCTTGAAAGTATGTTCAAAGGCGCAGATTCCCCTTGCCTGCTGAGAACCCTGGAAACATCGGATGTTGCTACGCTTGCCTCGGCAACCAACGATTTGGAAGGCAACTCCTTTCAATTTATTTGGGGTCTTGGCTGCTTGCTTGCTCCACGCAGTCAAAGAAGTTATTCCGCATCAGGGTTCGCCAGATGAGCGTGCAGCTTCCATGTGTTTGTACACATGCCCACAGGCAGCGTCATGCTCAAGGCAACTGTCCTTTCTGAAGCCCAACCGGCCTTGGCCGCAGTTCCTTGTGCATGTGGCTGCGCCTTGTGGTCTGAGGACGGGATCGTGTTTTTGCTGCAAAAAGGGCCTGAGGCACCTTTAATGCCAGATTTTATTACGACTTAGGGGAGGTGGAGGGGGGGGATGGGTAACATTTTTGTTATTGGACACGCTTGCCTCCCGCAAGAGGAGTTGTCGGGATCTACGTGGTCCCGGCCCGCCCGTTTAGGCGTGCATGATGCGCGAGGGCACCAAAGCCCAGGTGAAGGGGAACATGCAGTCGACGCCACAGTACAGCTGCAACAAATGGCAATGATTGGCTGGTCAGTGAGGAGCAGGCAGGGCTTGCGAGCTTCCGTTGGTCCCTTGGCTCTTTTTTTCATTGTTTTTTTCTGCGAGGACCACGCCGGGCACGGCATGTGAAGCATGGCCCGTGACCTGTGGCCTGGCGCGGTTTGACATTGAGAGCAGCATGTGTGGTGCAGCAACGGCCAGGCAGCACATGACAGTGGGTCAAAACCAATGATACCATCTTGGGGTTTTCGGTGCGCCACCCATTTTAGGACCTATTTCAGTGGTCGGATTGGTTGATGTTCGCTGGGGGCTGACTGATTTGGATTTTGACCCATGGCCACCTGGCGCACCGAACTGGGCACCGGCGTGGGTCCTGGCGGTCTTGCGACTCTCAGGATCCCCCAGAATCTGGCGATCCGCAGCTGCGGGCGGCAGAGCGACTGGCTGGGGGCCGTGGCCGTGCTGGAGCGGCTCCGGCCGCTTGAAGAAGAGCTGGTTCATTGCCCGGGGGGGCAAAATTGAAGCAGGGATTGAACCGCGGGTTTTGGTCCATGTTTCTCCATTTACCGCGGTTCTATATTGGGTACCTATTTTTGACCCACACCCACTCCACCCCTTTTGGTTGCGCCGTGAGGGGGGGAACGCAGCCACAGTGCTGCAGTGACCAGATGGTTTATGCAACTCATGTGGTGGTTCTTGCGGTGGTGGATGCGTTGGCGGTTCGTGTCGTGGGGCGCTGCTGCCGGTGGTTGTGCTTGTGCTTGTGCTGCTGCTGCTGCTGCTGCTGCTGCTGCTGCTGCTGATGCTGCCCATGCTGCCCATGCTGCCCATACGGACCGCTGCCGTGAAAGATCAACATGCCTTACACCGAAGTTCGTTGCGCTTCTATTCCCTTCCTTGATTTCCCTTTCCCATTCCCCCCCCCTTTCCCTCGAGAGCGGGAACGGGTTTGAGAGCTACAACTTCCACAGCGCTGTGCCAGATGCAAAGGGCAGACTTGCGCGAATGATCTCTTCTTTGGGCTGTAGGGGATCAAAGCCGCCATCTCGTTCGAGCATCAAGTGACAAGCTAATTTGCTTGCGCCCCGACTTGCTTGGGCACGCTTGCGCACAAGCGTACTCGCAGCTTTTGCCCTTTGTCATCAGTGATTCACCATGTTTGCCGTTTTATGGTCAGCAACCCTCAGAGGCCTGTAATTTGTGACTCTCAGCAGTCCCCAGTAGAGTCATCCACAACAGAAATGCTTTCAGGGCATGGTGTTGGTCCCGTCATGCTCGTTTGTCATCCCTTGTTCTGCCTGGCTTTAGCAATTAGTTGCTGGCAACTGCCAACCATCACGGTCTGAGGCAGGAAGACTTACACCCTGATGTCATCAGCTACACCTCTGCAATGAAGGCTTGCACGTCGAGCAGCTCCTGGGTGGTTGCTCTAGGTCTCTTTTCTGAAGCTTGGCAGCTATAAAGTGGACTGGCTCGAAATCGGACCTGTTTCGATGTTTTCTGCAGCACGCTGGCCGTCTCAAAGTGTAGAACGGTTGGTTGCCAAAATCTTGCAATCAACTACAGGCAGCCCCTGAATCCAATCATTCGACTACCCTAAGTCACGCTGGCAATCTGAGACGCGTGGGCCTCTTGCCCGGGCATTTCACCGGGCCCAACCCCGGGAGCTGAGCAGCCAGACGCCATCTAGGCTATCAAGCCGGGCTCCTCTGAATGTTCGGTACGGCTCAGGACATGCAGACCTGCGTCACGATGGACACCGTGGCGTACAACGTGGCGATCCGCGCCTGCGCCGCGGGCAGCAGGTGGCAGCTGGCCTTGGCCCTGGTTTTGGAGCTCTCGCGCGGCGAGAAGGGCTCGAGCCTGGCGCCGGATGTGGCAACCTTTAGCACAGCCACGCGGCACAGGTTTTGGCGCAGTGGGAAGAGCTGAGGTCGTGGTACATATGTTGTTTGCCACGTGTGTATTTTGTTTGCCGCCCACAAACGGGGAAGCAGAAGCTTCACCGAGCGCTTCTGAATGGTGTGTTTCTGTTGAGCATGTTACGCTGTTGCACGGTCTGGTTACACCGTTTACTGCCTGCACCGACTACATTGTTGTACGCCGCCGGACTTGCTTACACCACTTGCGGACTTCACTTCCCGCAGCGTAAGCAGCGCCTGCGTAAATACGCAGATAGCGAAAAGAGCGCGGGCAGCGTAAGCGGCACGCGCAGCACAAACAGCGCAGCGCAGGCAGCATCAGTGAGCAGGGCAGGTAGTGCAGCGGGGGGAGGCTGGTTGACGAGTGAAACCGCACCAGCGTAGCCGCGTGATAGCATAGAGCCTTTGGCACGTACGCAACAGCGGTTCCGTGACGTACTTTGTACCAGCCCCCGAGAACTAGCTTACGCTCTGCGCGGATCGGAGTGTTTTCTAACCGTTGGGTCTGCGCATGCGCCCCCTTGAGGGGCAGGGGTCGAGTGAGTCGAGATTCAAAAGCGCGAGTCTTTTGTAGCTTTGATCCCGCGCAAAAGCCTCACATTTTCGCAGCGTTTTGTGGTTGCAGACAGGCTTGTAAAAGTTATCGTGGCGACCACGTCTGCTCTCTGGATCAGGGGGACAGGGGTCTCAAACAAGCTTCGCAGTGCAATGTAGCACGCGGAGCGGCAAATCCCTGCTCAGAAATTTGCAGAGCAACATGTGGCGCGCAGAGCACCACTCGCTTGAAATTCACAAGTTGGTTGTCCAAATGTAGCCCGCAGCACATGCAGAGAAGAGAACTTGCACTCAGAACTTGCACAGAGAATCTGCAGAAGCGGCTGCCTTTTGTGAAGAAAGGCGCGTGACCTTGTTGATCAGGTACACTTTTGCCTACCAACTTATATAGGTCAAGCTGTCGGTCCTCCCGTCCTCATTTCCTCCTTTGGCGCGGGGGCTGGGCGGGTCAAAGGAGAGGCCGAAGCGAGTCCAAGCCATGCCGAGGCCATGGGAGCGCTGGGCAAGCGCTGGCCGTTGGCTCTTCAACTGCTGGAGCTGCTGAGGGCAAGCCTTCTGAAGTGCGACGGCATCAGCTGCTTGGCGCCTTTGGTTCTGGGTTTTGGTGGGTTCTTTTTTGATTTGGGTGTATGGGGCACCGGGTGTTGGTGGGTTCTTTTGATTTGGGTGGGGTTTGATGGTGTCGTTGGGCCCAGAGGGCTCAAGGCTACAACGTGGCCGTGTCCAGTTGCGCTGGAGCTGCTCAGTGGGCGCACGCCTTGATCCTTGGATGGCAGGGCTGGGGCGGTGTTTGCCTCGGCCATCCTCGCATCGCGTTTTGCCTAGGAACTTGTTCAAGCATTCGGCTTTCTGATGGAGGACTTGGCTGTTTCAGATGTTCGCTTCAAGATTGCGTTGCCGTTTGTGGCCATTTTGGCAACGCGTCAAGTTCAGAGCCAGCCATGCAGCCCATGTCACTTGCTATCAGTGGATTTCCAGAACAGGGGACTCTGGGGGTGCATTGTCCCATGCTTTTGACTGCCGTGGGCATAGCAGGTTCGTTTGCTGTTACGGCGCATTTACGTGTTAAACGGTGTTGGCGTTGGTTTCATGTGCATCTAGCAGAAAATGCAGGAATGTGTGCAGCTTTGTGTTTCTTGATGTTTAGGTTTGTCTTAAAATAGGGGAACCCCCAACAAAGCGGTTCCCTTTTGTTTTGCTTTCAAAACAAGGGATACACCCGTTGGGGCACCACGAAAATCAACAAGCCAGGGAAGCAAGACACAAAATCCAGAAAGTCCAGAGTTTAACAGCCAGCAAAAGCCAATACATTTCTAGCACACACACACACACCTATCATCGCTCTGATAGATGAAGTGAAAGCTGACCGCATTCTCGTGCTTTATCGCTCTCTCTCTCTCTCTCTCTCTCTCTGTCTCTTTCTCTCGCTGTCTCTCTCGCTTTGTCTCTATCGCTGTTTCTCGCTCGCTCTCTCTCGCTCTCTCTGTATTTTTTTTCTCTCTCTGACTCTCTCTATTTCTGTCTCCCTCCCTCTCTGTCTCTATTTTTTTGTTTTTTTTGTTTCTGTCTCTCTCTCTCTCTCTGTCTCTCCCGCTGTTATCTCTCTCTCTCTCTATTTCTCCCGCTCGCTCTCTTCCACTCAGTGCTGTCTTGTTCCTTTGATTCAAGTTGCGCGGCATCCAACTTGGCCCGCCTATTATGTTCTC